TCCTTATTCCTAAATGCTACATTCCTCAAATGTATAACGTCTTTAATACCCTTAGTCACATATAGTTTGTTATTTGGATAAACTTTAATCTCTTTTGTAGGTATGACCAGCTCCACACAGAAGTTAATATAGTCATTTAACACTGTAGTTCTTTCATCGAGTGAGCCTTTCTCAAAAGTGTTCCAATTTGTCCAATCGAAACAGGCTTTCAGTTGTTGTATACTTTCATTCATCCACAATCTAATCAATTTCTTTTCTGGTTTACTTTTTTTAAGTTTTGTCCTGTACACAGGAATCATATGTACTACATTATGGTCAGACTTTAAAATAGGTGGCATACTCTTTGACACATAAGCGTCCTTGACATTCTCAAAGCACTTATCAAGATTATTGTTATTTCTTGTTTGAGTCTTTACATACTGTTCAAATCCTGGCAACAAAGTCTCCAATTTGCATTGGTTTAAATCGCCCAGCACGATCACGGGTGCATCTGAGTAGCTGAGCTGTAGTTCGTGAACATGGTCCGCTATCAGGCTGGCTGCCTGAGATATTTTACCACTGGGCGGAACATATACCACAAACGGCAAAATACAACCAAATTCTCTGGGCAGGTAATAAGGTCTTAAAGTCATGCCGAGAATTTCCACATTGGGATCACAGCATTTTACTGAATATGCTCGGCACCATTTATCATTTATATATACACAGATGCCACCTCCTTTACTTTTACCCGAAACTTTGTCTCTATCAGCTCGTGGTAATGTAAATCCAGGGACCTCAAAGAGCGAGTCAGGCATTGTAGACTGCAACCAACTTTCCGTAAAGCAAAGCAGAGATGCCTCACGAAATTCATAACAGTACCTTATGAACAGTACCTACAAATAAATAAATGATAACTAATTTCATACATGTTGGAATGACTGGAGGGTGAGGAAATTATCACAGATTTGATCCCTTTAACCAATCCACCCTGTCATACTGTTATGGAGAGCATCATCATAATGTCAGTTTTAGTTTCTGCAGTGCAGGATGGCTTGGGTTGCTTGTTTTTGAAAAAAAGAAAATAATCAGGCATTCATTTGTCAGTGTACAATTATGTTACACTAATACTGTTACTTGGTGATCTCACCAAGAAACTTTTTTTTCCCCAAATGCAAGTCTCAGCAGAATTTTCTCAACAGACTGCCATGTGATTAGCTCTTTGTTTTCTTGCCCAGTATTGCTCAAAGCTATCGACTCCTTTTGCATAAATACTGCATTTGCAGCCTCCATGATCTTATACCATTTTAACATTACCATTTTAATTTAACAGTTTGTTTAGCCTACTAAAACTAGGTATATGCAAAACTTAATTTTCTTAAAATTGACAGCCAAAGACGTCACTCTGTGTGTGTTTGGTTGTAGAGATGTTTTTTTTTTTTTTAAAGAGGATGAATGTAAATTTGCAACATTTCCATGAAGCTTTTACGGTGTAAACAGTCTAATAGCAACTGTTAACATGCTAATTAAAGCAAAATATCACTCTATACTCTATAGTGTTCAAATGTTGGGGTTGGATAGTTTTTTATGTTTTGGAAGTCTTTTATTTATTTTAACAAATTTTAAAATGTAATTTATTCCTCTTATGACAAAGCTGAATTTCAAAAGCTGATTTGGTGGTCAAGAAACATCTCTTATTATTATCAATGTTGAAAAAAGTTGTGCTGGTTGATATTTTGAGGAAATCATAATAATTTTTCAGGTCTCTTTGAGAAATTGTAAGTTTGAAAGAACATAATTTATTTTAAACGGAAAACATTCTAAAAGTCTTTACTTTCACTTTAAATTAATTTAATGCATCCTTGTTAAATAAAAGTATTACTTTCTAAACTTTTGAATGGTAGTTTTACTATACAAAACAGAAAAATCTAGACCTCGCTAGTTGACTAATTGTTGCTCATCCTTAGACATATCTTCTTGCGTTTGTCAATATCTGTGAATAAAATATTCTTGCACAGCCTTCGATTTGTGAATTTGCTCTGTTGCCTTCCTTTCAGTCCAGAGTGTTTGTATTAGCTTTAAGCAGATGGCAGTAGTAAACACTGTGCTGTGTGAAAGAGTTTAGCATCAGGCAGCATTGAAAAGGTTCATTGAGGACTCGGTAGTAGAGAAGGCTGATGTCATTGTGGGTTTTAGCTGCCAAAGCTGATGAGCTTTAAAATGCCCCTTAAAGGGCAGGGGCTCAACTGTTATTAAAACCAGTCAGGTCTAGTAGGAATAGACCAAGGGTTTTATCCCCTCAGTCTGAACCGCCACCAGTGCCCATACTGGCGCATTTTAGTTCTTACTATTTTCCCTCGTCACTCCTCATTTTCTCCTGTGTCCTCAGTTTCTACATCCATCCAACCTCCAATTATTATCTCCTTCTCTCTAGTGCTTGTGCTCCCCTTCCATTCTCCTCCTCTTTCCCTTGATTAAGTGGAGATGGGAGCACATCTAAATTTAACCACACTTCATCTTCCAGCTCCCCCCTTGCTGTGTTTGATACTTCTGTTATCCCTCTCAGACCTACAGTGGGAAATTTCTTATAATGTCTGTGTAATTTTATATTATGGAGGAAAGAAGTGCGTTTTACCTACCTTCTAGGTTTTCCAGCAGTGTGTGTTTTGTTGCACTTCTCCCTCCATCTCATTAACTCTTTGTTTTTTTTCTGCCACCCTTGCTGTGTTTCTCGCCCTTTTTTCATATTCCTCAGCTAACACTCTCTTACAGTCCTTTCCTTTCCTCACTGGTAGACCCTCCAATTCTTTGTTCAAAAAACACAAAAAAAATAATGTTAAAAAAAACCCAAAGCAAAATGAAGTGCGCTTATGGGGATTAAGTCTGATAGATGCCCATTTAGGCTTGAACGATACATTAAAAGCTTTGTAGACTTGTCGTCATGGTTTCCTGGAGAACCCTGATTGTTAGGAGGCATAGATGGATGGACAGATTTTTTTTGACACACTCTCCTGGTGCTCTTGGGTGTCTAACCACTAAAGCTGCATTTTAGCCTTGCGTGGTCATGCCTGCTAAACTGCACACTGTGCTGCCTGGCTCACTCTGATTGCTTCAGCTCCGCTATCACACAGTCTGCTTAAACACCTGCTGATCTGGATTCACAGCGGCAGGCTGTCGGCTCGTCATGCAGGTTCTGATCCAGAAGCACGGCAGCTTTGAGGAATGGAGTCTGCCAGCTGCATAGACAAACGAAGACAAATGATCATGTCAGAGTGCTCAGTGGCTGCACACTGTACTCTCTGACCTGACCTCATCTACTGCTTCTCTGGTCTGAATATCAACGGGTTTGCTCAGCTGAAGGACTCAAGAATTTGTGCTTGATTCTTCCTTGACTGAAAAAGAATTGAATTTTGATAATAAAGAAGCAGAATGTGAATGTGAAACTACACTGTAAAAAAAGAAAAAAAGAAATAAGAAAAAGTGAATAATGTCCTGACATAAAATTACTGTACCAGTACGTTTTTTTTTTTATATGGACATTTCCTTCAACCCTGAAACACAACACATTGCAATGCGTATTTCCAAATACAGGTAAAACATCTGTGAAAAATCAATACGGAAAATTTCCCCATATTAAATTGGTAATTTGGGCTGTATTTTTAATTAATTCGTTTTTTACATTTTCTAAATGGGTCAGTGGTTCTTCCCAATGCAATAAACTCGCTGACATGATGCTGACATGTGTTGTGGGTTGTTGCCAGGTTGTTGCAGACGTTTTCTGGGTGAATTCAAGAGTGTTGCTAGTTGGTATAGGATGCTGGGAGTGGTTGCTAGTTCCTTGCTGGCCACAAGAGCTCACCACCCAAGTTTATATATGATATTCTGGTCCCTAGACAGATATGGTTGAGTCTTTGGAATTTGTTTCTGTCCATTTTATTGTCTGCCAGGTATGTTTGATTTGAAAAGTAATAGTTATAACACATGCAGAGAAACTGAAGACTTTCCAATGGGATTATTCATGTTGATTATATAAAGTCCAACTTTGATATTTGGTATGTCTGAAGTTCATTAGCTTCTGTGTGCATACTCTCTGCGTACTTGTTATGAGAGCCAGTCTGATTAGTGCCAAATGGCTTGGGGTGGAAATCCCAGATTACACATTCTAACTACTGCAATGACATAACGTGTTTCCTTTATGAGGCTTTGTTGTGGATTCATTTTTAGGTATTAGGATATATATAGGCCAGTGCTGCAAGCACACATTTTTAAACCAGCAACACCCTTAGCCCCAGCAAACATAAACCTTTTATCTCTTTTCTTTTCAGTAGAACAGGCAAGGTAACTTCTGCTATCATTTAGCTTTTGTTGTTTTCTGTTACTCAAAAATGTATTTCATTATTTCATCACTCTGAGTCTTGAAAACGAATGACTGTTTTTAAAATGTTACTGTGGATGTCTGAATTGCTACATAAGCTTTTTCAGCAACATATTATATGACCAAATCATCTTATTTGGAAATTTTTTCTTTATGAAGCCCAAGATTTTAGGTTTTGCTAGGTAAAATTAACTAGACATTTAAGTCACATGAATAGACATCACTAATTTAAAATTACAAATACAGAATTAAAAATAGAAGAGTAGAAGGATTTTAGCAGCTCTGACAATGGCAATACACAGCCCAGTGCTGCTGTTCTGTGATGTAATGTAGGATGTGGTTGGTTTATTATGAATAGGTCAGAGGAAGGGCACCATAGCTCATTTGGCTTGGATGACATGAAGCTCCATAAATGTCCAAAATGTGCCTCCATTGTTATGTGCAAAAAGTTGTTTGAGGCTGAAACATGCCTTGTGTTTAGACGTAAGCGTACAGAAATAAAGAACTTTCTGTGATGAATGAGACAATTTCTATCTTTCTTTGTTGCTAAGATGCTTTACTAGAATAGCACTATGTAGAATGACATAGAAGTTTTCATCCTTTGTGGTTCACATAGTGTTTAATTTTTTTCTTCATTTTTTCCAAGGACCCTTTAGTGGCCAAGGTCAGCGGTGGAAGAAAGAAAACGGTTTCTTTCAGCAGTATGCCATCAGAAAAGAAGGTGAGCAGTGCTGCAGATTGCCTTGCCTTCATGCAGGGTGGCTGTGAGCTAAAGAAGGTGCGACCCAACTCGCGCATCTACTCAAGATTCTACACTCTGGACTCTGAGCTGGCCTGTCTCCGTTGGGAACCCTCCAAGAAAGATGGTGACCGAGCTCGACTTGACATCTCTGCCATCCGTGAGGTCCGCACAGGGAAAAGCACAGAGACATTTCTCCACAATGGCCCATCAGATCACCTCGCTGAAGAAGCAGCCTTCTCCATCATTCACGGTGATGAGTATCAGTCCCTTGACCTGGTTGCACTCTCTGCCGATGTGGCCAACATCTGGGTGACAGGGTTGCGGTACCTGTTGTCTCACCCTGGTGCCATTGGTGGAGGGGATGGAGGGGTGGGAGAGGGCAGTATTGGGAGCAAGATGAGGTGGAACTGGTTGGCGGCAGAGTTTGCACTGGTTGATGAAGACGGACATGAAATTGTGTCTGAAGATACGGCAGTGGCCACCATCTGTAAACTCTGCCCTGGCATTAAGGAAGCAAAGGTAAGACATTCTCTTATAATTCAATTTATAAACCACAAAATCTTGCATTTCATGACCAAATGGGTTCAGAAAAAGCCAAACAGTACTGAATGCCTGAATCAAAAATGCATATACTGCAATGGTTTTTATGTAGGACAAATAAAATAAGAATCATGCTACTACAGCCAGAAATGAGAACAGGCAATATAATTGTTGTTCCAGAGCTTATCTCTCTGTATCATTACTTAGCTTGACTTGTTAGCCAGCCCTGCTGAGGTGCACAGCAATGGTTGGTTTATCGATTTGGCAGCTGTGACAGTAGTTTCATGCATGTGTGTTTGTGTGTGGACTGGACAGCTGGGGACAGGAGGAGGAAAGAAAAGCCACAGGGTCAAGTCTCCAAGTCTTTGTGACAGCAAGTGTGAGACATCTGCTTCATGTGTCTAGAGAGACAAGTAAAGGCAAAAAGGGCAAGCATTGAGGAGCTGACTATATAGACATGACTCACTTTATGCTAATCTTGAAAAATGCAGGACACCATCTAGGCCCTGTGTAGAGCTGCTGTCCCTGAATTTGTATGACTTGTGACATTTTGTCTCTCAAGATTCAAATTACTATCTGCCGCAAGCTGCTCATTTAATTTGCCTCTGGTCTGTGTAATAGTTTTTTTACTGTTATTGCTCATTAAAGGGGACGTCGGACGCCCATTTTCCACAAGAAAATCAAAACGGCTTGATAATTGAGATTGTTTAGGTTTTTGGGGATTAAAAAATAGGAGTGAATGGATTTTTATCATTGTAGGGTCTCCACACACTGCTAAGACATTTATATGCAAACACCAAAAAAAGTGAATTTTGCATCTAATGTCCCCATTAAGTTTCAAAGTTCTTTTCAAGAAAGAAAATCTACACCCCAGCATTTCTTATTCGAGAAACAAAACCTAAAAAACTGATGAGACGGGCTTAAATTATAAACAGATGATAATTAATGTAGACTGCCGAACTCTCAAGGCCTTGGTCATCAATAACCCTTGTCACCTGACAGTAGTCCTTATGTTCTTTTGTTTATCATTTAGTAGATACTTTAATATCCAAAGCAAGGCATTCCCCCAGGAACAAGTGCCTTAGTTGATTAAAGTGGTTTAATCCTCTTCAAATCACACTTTAACCCCTTAACTATCACCGTCCGAACGCTTGGTACTCTTTTTTGTTGTTGTCCTTTTTCTCTATCAAATCTTTTAGTAATCATCATGAATCAGATATCACTTGAAAGCTTAGAAGCCCAAGATTCATCCTGTGAAAACCATTTTGAAATCGGACATTGCGTTACCATGGAAATGGTACTTTAATATCTTTTGGCGGTCTCCTCCCCCTTGGCGGTGTCAAGTGTCATATTACAAAATGCATTACGCTCTTTTACAATCAAAACTTTTTATAATCTTGACTAAAAACATATAATTGGAAAGGTCTGAGTATCAGGATTCCATATTCTGTTTTGAGATAGAAGTAATATTGACAGAGAAATCTAGACATCTGTGACAGAGAATTTTTTTTTTTATTAAACATTATTCAAATACAAACACTTAAAGCATATTTTAACAATCATAAATCTGTTTTCTTTTCCGTGTTGAAACAGCATTTAAAGAAAACAATACAGAGAAGAAAAAATAATAATAATAAATAATAATAATAAAAAAGGGGTGAGGGTCTTAATCTAATAACATGTATAAGTCCAAAGCAGAAAGAAGTTTCAAAGCATTTCTGTCCATCATCCATGGAAGGGATTTTGCAAATAACTTCAAATCATTCTTCAATCCAGTGAAATGGACCTTTAAATACTTACATCTGTGGATAAAGTGTTTGCCTAACACAATCAGGTTATTTATTAAAAATTCTAAATTTTTATCATTTATAAACACTCCAACTTTAATTGAGGTCACATTCAAAGGATGCAGCGATATATCTTTAGATTGTATCCAACTTTGAAATGAAAGCCAAAATTCATATACAAATTCACACTGAAAGAAAATATGTTCTACTGTTTCAATGTCTTTCTCACAAAATCCACATGAATTATTTTCCCAATTAAAGCTCTCATGTAAAAAGCAATTGGATGGATAAATGTCGTTTAAGATTTTAAATGTCACTTCTTTGGCCTTGGGAAGAATTGGGTATGATAAATATCGCTTCCTTATTTTTCCCGCCTCATCCTCACTGAAGTCTTGCAGAACATATTTTCTTTTCAGTTGATTAGGATAATACTGCTTAGATAACACCTTTCTAATAAACTTATTTGAAAACTGTTTGCTATTTAAATTAATACCTTCAATACAATGTGATCTAATTTCTGATTGAGAGTTAGAGTACATTACAAACTGTTGAATCATTGTTATCAGGGGTGCTGGGATGGCCTTCATCACTCTATTGTATTCTCTAATTGGGCACTTGAAACTAAATTTATCACAAAAGTCATTGTAATACAACAAATTACCAAAATTATCCATCAAATGACTTACTGCCCATATACCTTTTTCCATCCAAGTACCTAAAAACAATGATTTCCTATTACTCAGAATATATCTGTTGTTCCACAAAGGTGTATTATGGTGTAAAGTTGTGTTTAAACATTAGGTTCCAGTACAGAAGAACTTGCTGGTGGAAATTAGATAATTTTACAGGTAATTTGTATAAATCATAGTCACAACGCAATAGAAACTCAATTCCACCCATCTTTTGAAAAATTGCATTCGGGATGCTAAACCATTTATCCTTCCAAATAAAATTGAAATTGATCTTGTTTATTAATTTAATCATGTTATCTGAAATTTCTAATGAAAAGGCAGGGTAAATAGCTCTTGATATACTCTCCATCTTGGATAGTAGAACCCTACTAAAAATTGTTATTTCCCTTTGTAACCAGGAATTCAATATTGCTTTACATTTATCAATATTTCTAAGAATGTTTTCTTTTTCCCTTACTACTTTGTGTCTGGTGACCGTGATGCCCAAATATTTGACTTCTGTTTTAACCTGTATATTCTCAATTAAGCGAGCCGGTTGATTATTCAAAGCAATAATTTCACATTTATTAATGTTCAATGTAACACCTGATGCTTTCGAGAATTGACTGATTGAATCTAACGCTGTGGAGATCTGCCTTTCATCTTTTA